CATAATCCAACAAATTATTCGAATTAATATATTGTAACAAGTTATTTTCAAACATTTTACATGTGGATCAGTCATCGAAAATCCTATTAGCTTCTTAAGTGATCCGGGAAATTAAAGGACCTGTTCTAAGAATTGCCTATCGTTCTTCTGTTACTAAATGATTTGCTAAGTAACGTAGATTGTTTATTTAATGGAAACTGAAGGAACAAGTAAAATAACATCGGGTATAAAATATTTTATTTGCATATGATCCAATTTGTAATAACTGTTTTTAATAAATGTGTTACTGTCTCGGGCTGGTGACTCGATAGAATAATAAAGCTCCAGTAATTAAAGCGTTAAGAATCGAAACTGCACTCTATGTTTATTCATGTTCCCAATGCCGATCGATTGATATACGATAGAGGATTTCCCGTGAGCCTCGAGCGATCGCAATCATCATCACTTTCGCCCCATCAGATTACATTCCAAAAACGGCAGCTCGAAGAGCGAAATTTATTTATCGACTAAGCACAGATCCTTGCCCCGGAAGAGCGATAAGCATCGAATCTACGGGACCATTAATCATTGGATACCTATTCTTTTTTTCCTTAGGCTTTCTTAACTGTGGGGAGAATTGCATAATTTTTCAACCGTGAAAATTCGCGCGCCAGACCTTTCAGCAACGTATTCGCGCGCGGGCGCGCATGTTTGTCCTGACTGACACGGATTTGACAAATTGTTTAATGCGGGAAATATACGGGTCTACCCGATGGACATGCTATTTTTCCGAGCTTTTTTCGGAGGAACCCGAGATTCGTGTGCACTCACTTTATCAGAATTGGAGACGCTACCCCAATTTCGTTCGAACAATGAATGATTTGTGGAATTTCCCGCAGAAATACGGATGCCCGTTACTTGTTCCCTGAAGTTTCTACAAAATGTAAGGAGCGAAGCAACTGAGAAATGTTGGGCAAGGGAATTCATTTTCTATTTGATTTATCTTTGCGGCGTGTGTGTTCTTCTACTTAGATCTCAGTAAAATCAATAATTTGCAAAGTGCTTCTTTTTGGTGAGTCACACGACCTTCATTGTATAAGTTGTGATGGTATTTCTAAAAAGTTTGGAAATGCAAATAATGTAATCTGAATGATATAGATCATATAAATCATATCATATTACAAATATAATATAAATCCATAAATCTAACATTAAAAATAAATACTTCTATCTATATTTTCTCACTATTTAGTCAACACTTAATAAAGATGTTCAAATTTACTGACTTCACATAGAGACACAAGAGAGAATAATAAACTCGTCATAAGTGTGTGCTTTTGAAGTGTAAATATGTTTCCTAAAACAATACAATCACTCGTTATACTTAAACAATGTACTCTATTTCATTCTTTCTCATTTTCTCCTTATTCCATTCGAAAAAAGTGTGTTCATTTTGTATAAAAAAAATTCTTTCTAGAAGTAAGCTCTACATTTGTTCCAGCCATTGTGTGATATATTCTGTGTACGTGCCTCGAACTGTGTATAAAACCGGAAATTTCTATCGCTTTATTCAACAAACAATACCGACATGTTTTTCTCGAATTTTGTAGAAGCGTAGTTTATCGCTGGTTGTAAAGTGACCAGAATATTTAGAATTTCGTCCGCAATGAATTAATATATTATTGATTTCGTTTACAGTTCGTAGAATTACGTATAATTTATGTAAGATATATATTATGAAAAATATATTGTTCAATTCTAAGACATTGTAGATTGTCGCTGTGGCAATTCAGTGTATCACAATAAATAAAGTGAAATACGACGAGGGTCACGTTTGCGTCGAGTGTAGGATTTCTTGGGAACAAACGTCGTTGCATTCTTCGCAAGGGCTTCGACGGGTTGGCTTCTTTCAATTATCAATGAAATCAGAACTCTTCGGATCTACTTTCATGAGGTTCCGCGATGCTTCCATTAAAACTTAGCGAGGTAGTTGTATATCTTTCGGTACACGATATTTCTCGTTCCGAACGCATTAAATTGAACTTTCCTAGCTTCTACTTGTCTAGCTTCGACGTGTTGTTCTCGTTTCTTCGAGCACGCTGCACATAACCGTGAACAATTTACAATGATTTGTAACCAAACGAAGCGGCGCGTTTCGGTGTAGATTCTCTTTCAAAAACATCGAAACTGAATATTCGTACAAAAGAAACTCGAACTGGACTCTACACATTTTTCAGTGGCCGAAAAAAAATTCAACAGAAAAATATCTGCATGCGGGACCATCCACAGAAGTACCGGACGTTTCCGGAGTGAAATAAAAACAATTTTTATATCTCTCCAGGTAAAACGCTCGCCGATAAACACGTGAACACCCTAGTGGAATTACGCATACGGAAAAACGATTCACGATAGGTGTTTTCGTAAATACAAATCAAAGCTACAATATTTTATAATTATCTTAAAACATCATTTTACCCTCTCGTAAGAGAGGAAGAGTCACCTTAAACGAGTAAGGATCTGTTTCAGCTAAAATTAATTTAAGTAGATAGTCGCATAATAAATAGGCAGCCCTATTTTCTTGCTAACTACAGTTTAATTAAATTTCCCTTTTCACGGTTAAAAACTAGCTAATCCAATTTAACTCAAGGGTCTTATTGCCAATTTTAGAACAATGTTTACGCTTCACAAAGGAATATAATCAGCTTATTATTATTTTTTCACATTGATACTTAAGGAACTATCTTCGGTTGTTGAAGAGACAAGTTGTGTATATATAACAATATAAATAATGTAATATACAATAATATAAATTAATAATTAAATATTTTTCCATTTCGTGTAAAGAGAAGTTTTTGGATTTATATATATATATATAACTAATCCAAAAACTTCTCTTTACACGAAATGGAAAAATATTTAATTATTAATTTATATTATTGTATATTATATTATTTATATTATTATTATTAATTTATATCATTAACCGTCAAGAAACAAATAATTCAAAGACAGATATCCTCTATTTTGTTTCATAAAACACACACATTTCATAGAAACCTGGATTAAAAATTATTAAGAATTTCAAATGACTTTTCTTGAAATTTTCCCATTCGAAAACACAATTTAAACACAATTTTACTATCC